CCCGGTAATGTCTTTCACTTCAGCACCCGGTGATGCTGGTTCGAATCTCAGGTGGGACATCAGCTCCCTCGGGGTTCCATATACGCCTTGCTTACGAGTCAAAACAAGTAGGAAACCTAGGTCAAGGGCTTCCTTCTAATTCCCTCCACCCAACTTATGTGTATCTCAGCGCATCCCGATGGTGAGGATCCTAGCTAGGTAGCCACATTCCAAAATGATCGATAGAGTCCGGTATGCATTCAGGACTAGACAACATGAGATCGGTTACCCTTCTGTAAACACTCAGTCTTCACTTACCTAACTTTAAGCACTGAAGTCACGTGAGTAAGTATTATAATATGAAAAGGATTGACATAAGTATCTTTAAAAGTATTCTGTAAACCATTTTAAAATCTGTGGTTCCTTTCCACAGAAATGTTGGTAGGCTTTACTGATCGATGCTACGTAGAAACACCTATTGTTTATAAGAAGCAGTGTTATAAGATAACAGTATTTGACTGATCACTTGGGAAAAGGCGAGAAGACAACTGCCTAAAACAACGCCATGGGGCTGCAGTTGGGGTTATCATGAATGTAAATGGATTCTCTTTATCGCGGCTTAAATTTCTTTTCCATAAGAATGATGAACTATATTATGAAGATGTTCTTCAACAAGAACAACAACTGTCACTGAAGGTTTTAGAAGTGAAATTGAACCTATGATGAGATACTGTCGAACTGACTTGATTGGCATAGGAAGAGAGCAGCCTGCTTTCTTTTGTATGATCAGTTTGATTAACTCATAGTTATGTCCAGTTAGCATAAATTTAAGATTACATCTCCTTAGAGTACGTAAATTTCAGAGGAAATGTCACCTCACATTCACATTTATGATTCCAGATAAAAGATAACTAAAGTGCGCTTGCATTTAAGTGCTTACGCCAAGAGCACATAGAACAAAGACGGCGTAACCGTATGGATGTATACTGATTAGCCTTCTCAAATAAACTTGTTCTTCGGCACCATTTGTTGGGGGAAGTTACTGAACTCTTCAAGTTGTATCGTATCCCCATTTCTGGAGAATAGATGAGACATGCGTTAGTCAGGTTGTTTTTAAACCAGAAATTCAGGTTTCTATAAGGGAGGTAAAACGTTATTAGATTACGTAACAGAAAATTTCTTACAAACGAATTTTGGTTTACCTGACACCATTTCTTCTAGATGTGAACGAAATTGTTACAAGTATTTCATCTTGTTAAATATTGTTAAATATTTTATATTAGCTGTATGACTGGATACTTGTTTAATTGTCTTGATATAGAATAGTCAATTGCCTTCCAGATTTCAAAATCCTCCACGATAATCTCCTGTTTGTACTTCAGATATTCCCTCATTTTAATATTGTCTAATCCAAATAAATCAGCAATATTTGGTATATTAAGAACACAGAAAGTACTTCAGGTAGTCGGTAAATAGATTGAAGTCAAATACACATCCAGTTGGTCAAGCAACGAAATATCAGAATCATGCATAGGCATCTCAACAATGAAGTCATCTTTGACCACATATATAATCTAATCATAGGTAAATCTTCTTCATTTATACACATTCTACAACATGAATTAAGGTAAACAAAAAGTGAGATAATATCATGTTTAGTTTACACAACTTTAGTAGGCATTTTGATGGAAAGTGGAGAAGCACAATCTACTTTCATGATGGTACTATTGTAGGACTATTTCTGGTTAGAAATCAAGTAACATTAAACTTATCCTCTACAAATTCTTTTATTCTGTCGTACACATAAGCTGTTTACAAAAACTATTAGCAGTGGTTTTAAATCTATGATTTTCAAAAATTCAAGAATGAATGAACGAATGTAGCCCACTAAGTATGGACAGTTTATTTCGAAACTAGATAGATGGATAGAGTGGAGGTTAGAATCTAAGTGTTACTGATACAGCATTGATGTTTGTGATAAATAGGTTACTTCTCTATCTAGTAAGTAAAAGTAGATTGTATTAATTAGTCGTTTTTGACAAGCGATATTATTACATGTTGTTAAACAACCGGTTATATCTATGTCAAGAAAAAAGTTGCCACCATACGCTTCTTCGTTATACACGTATTACATGTTCATGCGATTTATAATTAGAATATAAACTAGCTTGGTCACTTGACCAACCTTGTCTGTAGCTTCAACATCTTGTATATTATTATTTTTATCATTATTTTTCCCTTGGGTTCCTAGTGGAACATTGGGATTCAGTAGCACGCCTCCATTCCACTCTCTTCTCTACACTCTTTTCAATATCCCTCCACCACTGCCCACAAGCTCTCATTTCTTCCTCACATCATCTCCTCCACGTCACCCTCGAATCAGACAACCAACTCGTCGTCTCCCCTTTGAATTCCACTCAAGGGAACGACCTGATGCGTGATGTATCCAGTCGGCCTTCTCAGTCCATCCCCAATCCATCTCCACATCATTCTGCTGCATATTTGTTGCGTGATAGCTTGCTTCTTGGTTGGTTCGTTACCAACCAACCAGAGTTCCTTGTTGCTTATTCTTATTATTCTGGCCATCTGATTTTCGGTATTGAGTGAGTGTAGGTGGCAGTTGTTGATGAATGTCTGTAGTTTGTTGGAAGTGCTAGTGGTGATGCGCCAAGTTTCTCAACCATCACACAGAAGCACTGAGTTACTTGACTGACATTGGTGTTGAAAATCCGGATGTTGTTCACACTTTATGCTGAGTGCAGAAGATCTCCACACTGATTTCAGATTAGTGAAAGCCTGTCCTGCTTTTCCGATCCTGGTTTTCACATCTTCATCTGTGGCACCTGTAATTGAAATAATGCTGCATAAGTAGGTGAAAGAAACTGCTTCCTTTAGGTTTCTCTTGTTAATGGTGATTGGTGTTTGTTGTTGATGCTGTTGTTGGTTGGGTATCTTCATCACCTCCCTTGATTGTCGTCTGGGTTACTGGAGTAGATTATTAACTCTCCAGTTAAAAGTTTCGAGAGTCCACCTCCATTCCATCTGCCTTCTCGAATTCCTAGCACTTCAATGCGATACCTCCTCATCTCGTTTGCAATCTGAGCTGCCTTGCTGGGTTCATACATGGTGTGGACATTCCATGTCCCCTCGTCTACTTTCACTTTCATCAACGGAGAGAAGACATGTCGGCCGACTGGCTTCCCGAAGACAGGCTTTCACCAACCGGTGTCATTTCATCTCCCCGATTCCAGTGAGGAATAAGTTTGTTTTTATATTTCATAATTTCTTTGTGCTTTGAAGTTTGTTTAGTGATTGGATTGATTTTACGGGGTAGGGTAGCTAGCTGTATGCCCAACGTTCCCTGTTTATCCAGGCTTAGGACTGACTAGTAACTAGTGAACTAGTTAACCAGGCGTGGTTATATATATATACACCTCACTTATTGATAAATCAAACTGTGCCCCAACCTTCATTCAGTAGAAGACAAAGAATGCCTCTGCCATCATCCTTATTAAAACCAAGGTTGTCATGAATGGGTATATCCATTACAGGCTCACAAATCAAAAAAAAATCCTTTTGTGATCAACGCTTTCATTTCAACTTCAATCAACACACTAGATAAAAAGATCATTTATCTTAGGCAGTAATCTTCAAAAGTGAGAAAGAAACAGAACTGGAAGTAAATGAAGGGTCAATGTGAACCTACTGAACAGTAAGGTAGATCAGATAATCTGACCAGCTGTACTTAACTGATATTAATATTTTCCCTTGTTTGATTTTTTATAACAATGCACATTATTTGGTATGTGCTTGATGCTGTTATCTGTGCAATATAACTGTATCAAGACATTTCTGAGAAAATCGTATCTACCTGAATGACACTTCTGTAGAGACTGACTAAGCTTCTTTGTATTGTTTTTTCGGCTAAGATAAGTAAAGCGTAGTTTATCGAATTTCATGTTGTTTATCTTCCACTTTCATTCATGATTTCGTACACTTTGTTAGTGTCTATCCGTTATGATAGATAGTTACAGATAAAAAGTATAAACTATTTGAATTGAGCTGGCTTTCTATCCCTTATGAAGTCATCAGTAGCACCCATTGCTGTTCATACGGATTCATACAAATGTGAATTGGTTAGATGCAATCTGCAGAAAGCGCTGGACGTAGGTTTCGTACTTGTTGGTACTCTCAGCGAGGCGCATCTGTAACCTGCCGGAGATTCGAATTCACGTCACCCACTGAGCTGTCCTGGCTGCGATTGACCTCCTGTAGGACTGGGCTACATGCATTGATTGGTCACGGGACAGCAACCAATTTCATGTTGTCTAGTCCTACGGATCATATCTGCAATGTGGCCACCAAGCTAGGAGGCTCAGCCTCACAGTGCATATCAGTACATTCATACAAATGCTTCAGTATCTATCAATTCGATGTGTTTCAACACAAAGTAAACACGATTTGGGGATAGGCAACAGAGAAAAGCTCAATAGTGATGATGGGCAACAACTAGCAGTGGAATCCAGAACGCATGCTTCGACCTATTTGGTGGGAACCATCAGGTGAATGTAGCTACTTCTTAATGAGTGATGTTGTTCCCACTGAAACGGGAACCCAGCATTGATCGTTCCGAATAACATAGCGTTATCCACTAGGCCACAAAGTCACGATAGGTATAGTTTTGATATCATAACTTGTAATTCCCCTGGCGTTTGAAGTGTTAGATTCTGGGTTTTAGTTTCATTGGTAGGCAGGTACATCCAGCTGACGTGTCTCACAAACTAGGATAAAGCTTTGTATTCCACTGCTTGCCATTATACATAATTACTATCAGATTGAAATTATCGGCAATATGGAGGCATCTCGGAAATATCCGATATACTAATAGCGGTAGGTAAATCAGTTCCGTCAAATCAATAAACGGGTAATTACAAGCGATAAAATCAGAGAAAAGATTGTTTAAATTTTAATTAAACCATTTCCCGGCATATTGAAATAACTTCAAACCAGACAGAAACATCGGATCATTAATTTTTTTTTATTCTTCAATAAAATACTAAATCTGAAAATAAATCTATTCAAATTTATACAATTGTTAATGATACATGCATATATCATCTTGAAATGATTTCTCACTTTTAAACTTCTCCAAATAAATATACAACCAACACAAATCGATACCACTTGATGAAATAACAATCCATAGTACACCTGAACAATTTAACTTTCATATGGATACGATACACCACACAAGTTATCAAGATTGTGAGATAAGAAAACAACCAAGTCAAGAAAAAAAACGATAAACGAAGGTTGTTCATGTAAAAAATTTTATTTTCAAGAATCAATTTATGCGAAACATATATATATATATATGAGATGAAATTCTGAAAATATATTCTACATTTTTTAAAAACTGTACAATGAAACAGAAAATTATCGATTATTTTAGCAAGAAATATTAATGTATTAACTAGACCATATCAACAGGTGTCCAATGTATCAAAGTGACAATATGAAGAAGAATATCTCTTCAAGTGAATGTTTAAAAAGGAGGAAACCTCAAATAAAACTGGTTAAATATGTGAGTTTTTGAATTTGATAGCGTTTACATCTTACTAGGCATAGATTTTTGCTAATTATAAAGATCAGAATCATGACTGACACTATGATGTTTGAAGTCTAAGTAGGTCTATGACTGTAGCACTGAGTGATATGAACTTGAGTCTCTCAGAGGATATCTATTCACTTGATCTTGTAAATATGACTTACCGATGAGTGCTAGTAAGTACGAAACCTAGGTTCAGGACTTCCTGATGGTTACCACCATCTGTCGGACAGTGTATGTTTAGGTAGACGATTGTTTGTACCCTTACTGAAGATTTGTTACATCTTACTCATTAAATCTTAGGTATAAAATACTTTGCGTTGTTGGTTAGCTCAACATATTACACTTATGATCAGTTGGACGAAGAACTGGCGTCCTTATGGATTTTAAATAGATCAACTATTGTTCCACTCATTTCTATTCCTATGCTAGTCTACGCAGTGAGTGTTCTCTGAGTTGTGATATTTTATCGTGACCTTGTGTATCTTAGGTCGATTGCAAAACCTCGGTCTGTTTGTTTTCATTCACCATTGTTCTCCTTTTGTGATTTGCTCGGCTTTTACTAAACTCCTCAGTTTCCCTTGGACCTGTCTATCCAACTGTTTAATCGGAACAGATCGGATATAATCATTCTTAAACCTGATAAGGGATCAGGTATCGCTGTGATGAATAAATTTGACTATAAAAATAAAATGCTATCCATCCTCAGCGATGAAAGCAAATTCATAGCCGATTTCTCATCACAAGATATTAGAACATTGGAAGTAAAAGTAACCACTCATGCCTTTCTTCTACGTCTATTAGGTGTTGATCTCTTTTGATTTTCACTACAGCAACAAATAATTGACGTAGTTCCTGTTATTATTGAACCAAAGAAGCGCAGAAATCAAGTTTGCCTCCATTTCCAGTGTTTTAGTTCAACCCCTCCTGAAGCAAATCATATTCTTTTCACAAATGTTATACATTTAATTCCCTTGACAAATTTGAACAGTACAAGAAAGTGGAGATTTACAGAATAAAATGAGCTCATTTTATTTTACGGCCTTTCATCAGCTGCAAACAGCCTACAATTGAAATATATATAGTAATAAAATATAATATGATATACATAATAATAATCGCTTTATTCCAAACAATATTTATGGCAGTATGCAGTTTTCAGCATGCTGTTTTTCAACAAATTCACTCCTAGAACAATACTTTCAAACGAAATGGTTATTGTGCCTGGATGATGTTAATAATAACAGTATTCAAAACAATAGCCAGCTCGTTCTGGATAGGCGAAAATTATGTGCAGTTACCAAGGTAAAGAAAGATTAATTACCGTCTCTTTCTGAGTACATAAGTTAGGTTGAAAATGTTTGATGGTGAGAGTTTACGCAAACAGTAGCGAGCACGGTGTTCTTTGTTTTTTGGTTATCCTGAAAGGTTGAGAAATATCTATTTGATGTCTTGTCTCCATCAGGTTCCTAGTGATTTCGCTGGTACAGACTATGCTACCTTTTGAGACATAGATTTCTCAGAATATGCTCATAAAATTGAGTAGACGCCCTTCCTTTGGTCCATCATATGTACTTGCTTCCACAAGTACAGGTGAGTTGATATATGCAGTTGGAGGTGACGTTATTACCACTAATACTTCATTTCAACTGTAGGCTGTTTGCAGCTTATGAAAGGCTATGAAATAAAATAAATTCATTTTAGTCTGAAAATGTCTTTTTGCTTGCATTATTCAAATTGTATTCTATTGTGGATAGTAGGCGTTCTAGAAGATTCACTGCCCATTTATCTTTTAATTCCTTCTCTGTTGGTTGTGATAGCTTGAGCAGTTTACCATTTAACTTTTGCCGCCTCTTCTTGCATTCGGTTTTAATTGTTATATTGATGGTTGATCAGAGAACACCAAACCACCATCATCCTCATCCTTAGCTACAAATCTTTTCAGTCATTTCACGAGGGGAATTCTTTGTACGGAAATGAATGACAGTGTTCATGTTGCAGGTGGATGCATATACTGCAGTCTGTAGACATGCATGACGATAAATGTCACTAACAATAGTTATTTTGTGTGTATTCAGAATACAATGGAATTAGTGTGTTTTTATTTCTTATGACTCTATTGTTAACAATCATTATTATTATTATTATTATTATTATTATTATTATTATATTTATAATTTGTCCTATGGGTTAGTAGTGGAACATTGGGATTCAGTAGCACGCCTCCATTCCACTCTCTTCTCTACACTCTTTACAACATCCCTCCACGACTACCCACAAGCTCTCATTTCTTCCTCACATCATCTCCTCCACGTCACCCTCGACTCAGACAACCAACTCGTCGTCTCCCCTTTGAATTCCACTCAAGGGAACGACCTGATGCGTGATGTATCCAGTCGGCCTTCTCAGTCCATCCCCAATCCATCTCCACATCATTCTGCTGCATATTTGTTGCGTGATAGCTTGCTTCTTGGTTGTTTCGTTACCAACCAACCAGAGTTCCTTGTTGCTCATTCTTATTACTCTGGCCATCTGATTTTCGGTATTGAGTGAGTGTAGGTGGCAGCTGTTGATGAATGTCTGTAGTTTGTTGGAAATGCTTTTCGAAACCCACCAAGTCTCTCAACCATCACACAGAAGCACTGAGTTACTTGACTGACATTGGTGTTGAAAATCCGGATGTTGTTCACACTTTATGCTGAGTGCAGAAGATCTGCACACTGGTTTCAGGTTAATGAAAGCCTATCTTGCTTTTCCGATCCTGGTTTTGATATTCTCGCCTGTGCCGCCCCCTGTAGTTGAAACAATGCTGCCTAGATAGGTGAAAGAGGCTACTCATTGTTAACAATAGTATCACTCATTTTATGGTTAGTATATGTTAAAGAATAGTTACAAGCATAAATATTCAGGTAAACTCGGTAGAAGAGAAGTTTTCATTCACCAATTGGTCCTGGTGAATCTCTAAATCAAACTACTTATTCGCTGACTGAGCCATACTTTTGTTATCAGGTGTATGGTCAATTGGTCTCATCGAAAACAAAGTAAACTGGTTTCTGTAAACAACCTTTAGTTAGTAGTTAAACTAACGGTTTCAACCACAAATATATTAGTAAATTATTCTAACTGCTTTGATAATTAACTTTACTTACTCTGAAGTTTATGGGGTTTTTAATTATTTCAAGGACATTTTCATCACGGACTGACATTAGTTGGAAAACCATCGAAAACCTAAGGGTACTACACCGCTGCTACGTCCTACTATCAGACTCCTCAGCAGTACGCACCTGAGTATGATCTTTGGCTTAGTTGTGGGTGTGTACGGCCGAGGAGTTCCATACTAAAAGGAAACAGCTAGCTGTTCAGTACAGTCAGGTTTTCAATGGTTCTCTAACTGACATCAATCATCTCGATTAAACTTAACTGAATGCTGATTAGAAATTTATAATAGACTGTTCATAAAAATGAATTGTCAAGGGTGTCTTTACACTTGTATTTCCCCCAGCAGAGATAACTTACTAAAATTGATTAGAATATGAGGACTGTAATCTGCATCGAATTCTTGACAATTTCACACTTGAAAAGTTCTTCCCGATTGTCTCAAATTTCAAATTAAATAGCTGAATGGTGCATGTATATGATATCAAGTTTCTGGAAGGTTTATACCTACTAGTTGTTGATGATATGTGGTTGGGTGGAATTTACATAAGGCTATATATAAGCATAGTGACACAGTGGACAAACAAGCTATCAAGTAGAAAGAACTACAGTGACTTACTATTGATGGAGAATGATCAGTAGTGAATTCAGGACGAGCATTTCATGTTATTTAGTTAGGTCTCATTAGCTGGAGTTGCCTGCCTACCAGTTAGAGATGTTGTCCCCCCAGGACTCGAACCCTGGACCAATCGCTAAGGACACCGGGGAGTTACCTACCAAGCCCCTGTGCCTATGTTAAAGACTGTGAATCTGCCTCGTTGACTGACACTACTATTTGCGATTATAGTTCAGTGGCCTAGCGGATAACGATCTCTCATTTGACGCGGTTGATCCTGGGTTCGAGTCCTAATGGGAAGAAATACTCATCACTAGGAGGTAGGCACATCCAACTAGCTAGTCCCAGATAAAACGAAATAAGTGCCCTGGATTCCACTACCAGCCACTATCCATCAATAATACCGAAACTGAGAATACAGGCACTATGAGGACATCCGCAAGGCAGACGGTAGCCGATCACTTCCATCCAAACAACAACGTAGATTAACAATAAAACAACATTTACTTGTGTTGACAGTATTCAAGGAGAAGAAAACAAGGATTAGCACTTACTATACAGATGAATATTAAGTTTTCCTTACGATGAGTATGTTACACTACCTTCTTCCAAGAACGCCAAGTCAGTCACTTGACGATATGTTTCTATTCTGAACGTACAATCCAGTTTACCCAGTTTACCCAGCAAGCATTTGTGTGAAAAACCTTAGGACTAGAGGGCACAAAGTTGGTTTACCTTCAGTGACCAATCAATGTACCTAATGTAGTCCTACAGGATGTCACTAGTGGCCTGAATAGATCAGTAGTTACGTATTTGACTTAAACATTGAGTGACGCAAGTGCGAATCTCAGTTGGGAGATCAGTTCCCTCGAGTTGGCAGATACGCCTTGCTGACGACCACCAACAAGCATAAATCTTAGAAGCAGGGCTTCCAGCCGATTACCTGTATTAAATTAAAATGTATTCCAATGCATCACTATGGTGAGCCCCCTAGCTTGGTGTCCACATTCCAAAATGATCGATAGAAATCGATAAACACTTAAGACTTGACTACATGAAGTTGGTTACCAGCCAGCAACCAGTCAATGTATCCTGAAATTTAGACAGAAACGAGTCACCAACACTGAGCATACAGAACATGATTCAAACATCACTTACACGGTTAAACTGCTTAAAGTAATGTCCTTGTTAAATCCGTTTTCGC